TCTACATAAGCGAATCAACTAAACTGGAATAAGGAACTCGAGACATGTAATCAATGTCTTCATCTGGCTGAGAACATAAGTTGGATGGTAATTTAAAGTGAGCAGCCAAGGAAGTACGACAGCTTTCTCATTCACCTTATTGAATCTTTCAAACACCTTCTCAATATACTCATTCTGACTCAAATACAATCTCTTAACGTTTCTATCTCTCAAGATTTTCATACCAAGAATCTTCTTTTATGCACCCAAATCCTTCATATCAAACTCTATATTGAGTTGAAACTTCACTTTTCTGACATCTGCTTCATCTTTGGCTACTATGAGCACATCATTAACATATAATAACAAATATGTAATCGATCCATTATATTTCTTCTTGAAGTACACACAACTATCATAATTATATCTGAAGAAACCATGAGTAGTAATGAATGAATCAAACTTCTTATACCACTGCCTGGATGACTACTTTAGTCCATACAAGGACTTTTTCAACAAGCACATACAATCTTCTTTCCTAGAGACTGTGAACCCTTCTGGTTGTTGCATGTAGATGCTCAAGTTCTCCATGTAAGAATACCATCGTAACATCCATCTTCTCAATCTCTAAGTCATTCTTAGCCACCATTCCAAGTAAAGTCAGGATAGAATTATGATTTACAACTAGTGAGAATACATTTGTAAAGTCAACACCTAGAATCTGACTGTATCCATTTGCCACCAATCTAACCTTGTATCTAGTATTCTCAATCCCTGGCGTGCCTTCCTTTCTTTTTAACACCCATTTGCAACAATTTATACTCCTTCACACCTGATTTATACCAAGGAAAGATGCAATTTCTAGACATAGGCTCCAACTTTTCATTATCCATATGAGTATAAGCAGGACACCCAAAAATTTGCAAATCAGAATAACAAGAAAGCTTATTAGATCATACTTCTTCTGGTGTCTTTTTATCAATAGCAGCTGAGGGTATAAGATTAATCAGAAAACAAGCAGTAGTAGTGATTACGCCCAAAGAATAACGCAGTAATTGTAGCACAACTTTGGGTTGTCGTATCCACAGGGAGATGGAAGAATATTTAAAGGATCAAAAAGATTGAATTGTTCTCTCAAATGTGTAATAAAATTCAATGTTAAAACATGAAATTAAAATCAATAATTTGAAGCGGTGAAGCGTCGGAATTCCCTCAATTAGATTGGATCAATCATATTAATTATTCATTTTTATAA